ACATCAGCTATTTTTCTTAGTTGTTTCCTTTCCTCTCTTCTTAGAGGTTATCACAAACTCAACATAATAATAAAAGTCTAATAATGAACGGTAACACTTTAGAACAAATAGAAAACTACAACTATCTTGGCACAATAATTAATCACATAAACGATTACTCCAAAGAAATCAATGGTCGAATAGAAAAAGCACGAACAAACTTCAATAAAATGAGAAAGGTACTTTGTACAAAAGAACTGAAATTAGACTTAAGAGTTAGGTTATCAAAGTGCTATATTTTCTCGACTCTGCTCTACGGAATGGCAGCCTGTGCTTATAACTCGGCACCTACTACGAACCTAGAAACATTCGAATTGTGGATATATGAAAACATCAAACACCGAACACGTAACAAATAACGAAGTCGTGAGAAGAGTTAACAAAAGAATGAAAAGGATGGAAACCATCAAAACACGATAGCTGCAATACCTAGGTCATGTCATGCACGGTGAGAAATACGTCGTGCTTCAATTGATGATACAAAGGAAGATCCAGGGCAAGAGAAGTATGGAAGGAGAAGAATCTCTTGGCCGCATAACTTGAGGGAATAGTACGGATGCACATTAATCGAACTGTTAGGATAGCCATGATGATTGCCAACCTCCGTCGCGAACTTGGCACTTCATGAAGAGGAAAAAATCATCTTATAACTAGAAAATTTATTATAAAAAGCTTTTGTTCTTCTGTAATTTTTGAAAAGCATTTGAATGGTATAAAACATTGCGCCACACAGTGCTCCACAGTGGGGTGTAGGGTTGTGTTATAGAGGTAGTACCTTTTATTGGAACGACCACATCGAGCGTCATAGACGGGAGATGGTTCTAGATAACTGGTCCTCATAAGACACCTAACTCTCACTTATGGCTCCACGTGCCACACCCCGGGCAACTGCATTGGTCTGCAGGCTAAACTAAGTGAGGGTAGCCAGATATGGCGAAAATTTCACCGAGTGATTACCGAGTGATACCCTGATGAAGGGCAGCAGCGATCATCAGTACCAGCTCAAGGCGCAAAGGAAATGATCCTGGATCGGCTTGAAACTGGACTACCACAAGCATGACTGGAGCAGTTTGAATGGTTGTGGTACTGCGATGGGGAAGGCAACGGAAAACCACCTCATAAGAATTTCCTAGAATAGTTATCATGGCAATACACTACGATAACAAAAACATTACTGATCATGGTAATCGGATCCCAAGATCCGGCAGGGGAGGATGCACACAAACAAATAGTAGGGCCTCCCTGGTCGTCAGCCAGCGAAATCCCTACGGCCTAAAAAAGGAAGCAAGTTCTCAACACCTAAGGATTGGAACTTGGAATGTACGAAGTATGTACGAGAGCGGCAAAACTCATAATATTGTAAAAGAAATGAAAAGATTAAAAATTGATATATTGGGAATTAGTGAAACACACTGGCAAAACTCTGGACAATGCGATATACTTGGATATAAAGTTTACTATGCTGGAAACAACACAAAACATCACAGAAACGGCACTGCAATAGTAGTTGCCCCACATATTAATTCGGCAGTAAAATCTTTCACTCCCCATTCAGATAGAATGATGCTTTTACAAATTCGAGCAACACCGGTGGATATTAATATATTACAGGTATACGCGCCAACGGCAGATAAAGATGAGGCAACCAGCGAAGAATTCTACGAACAACTGGGAAGCCTGATGAAAATGACAAAAAAACATGAAGTAACAATAGTGATGGGAGATTTCAATGCAAAGGTTGGCAGAGGCAAGGTGAATGAGATCGTGGGAAACTTCGGCCTAGGGGAGAAAAACGATAGAGGTGATAGACTTATATGCTTCTGCCAGGAATATAACCTGCTGTTAAGTAATACACTCTTCAAGCTCCCCAAACGTCGACTTTACACATGGAAATCCCCCGCTGACTCACCTGACAACATCATTAGAAATCAGATAGATTATATAGCAGTACCAACAAGATATAAAAACATGATAAAATCATCAAAAACGTACCCAGGTGCCGATGTTCCTACGGACCACAATGTGTTGGTATGCAGAATGGTCATGAGAGTAAAACGGCTCGAGAAAAGATCTAATTTAAACACAATCGATATTAAAAAACTCACTAACCCAGAAACCGAAATAAAAGTACGAGAACAACTAGGAAAGAAAATAAAGGACATTAACGAGAACACGTCGGACATAATAGAGAGATGGGATAAATCGAGGGAAGCAATCCAAACAACATGCGCGACTCTATTAAAGCGAGACCGACGAAAAAAGAAAGAATGGATGTCTGATGAGATAATGGATATGATGGATGAAAGACGTAAACTCAAGAATAAAAATGCAGAAAAATACCAGCAGATCCACAAAACCATAAGAACGAAAATTCGAGAAGCCAAAGAAAAATGGTTTTCCAACGAATGCAGGGAAATAGAACAATACGAACGAAAATACGACAGTTACAATATGCACAAAAAAATAAAATCGATGACAAACAAGAGGAAATTCAATAAGTCACCCAACAGCATAAAAGATAGCGATGGAAATCTTATCTCGGAGCCATCAACGATCTTAAAAACATGGAAATCATACATAGAAAAATTATTTGCATCTAACAGGACTGATGATCACCTATATGGAGAAGGAGAAACAGGACCTTCAATTCTTAAATCGGAGATAGAAGATGCCATTGCAGCACTAAAAAACAATAAGTCAGCAAGTCCGGACAATGTACCCTGCGAAATATTAAAGATCCTATGTAAATCAGACAAACAGTTCCTTGACAATCTAGTTGTACTTTTTAACAACATATATAATAGCGGTAAAATCCCGGAGAACTGGCTACAGTCAACATTTATTACAATCCCGAAGAAACCAAATGCCCAGATTTGTGATGACTACCGGCTCATAAGCTTGATCAATCATGTCACTAAAGCGTTCACTAAGATCATTCACAGAAGAATATATGATAAATGTGAGTCAAATATTGATAGATCGCAGTTTGGTTTTCGGAAAGCACTTGGAACTAGAGAAGCAATTTTCGCTCTCCAGGTGCTTATACAACGGTGTAGAGACGTTGATAAAGACGTGTATCTGTGCTTTGTAGATTTTAGAAAAGCATTTGACAATGTCAATCATGAACAATTGATAGGTATTCTGCGAAAGACAGGTATTGACGACAAGGACATTCGAATTGTGGCAAACCTATACTGGGGTCAAACAGCAAGAGCAAAAATTGGCAACGAACTCACTGAAAGCGTGCAGATCAAAAGATGTGTCCGTCAGGGGTGTATATTATCCCCACTCCTATTCAATATGTATTCCGAGGAAATATTTAACAAATGTATGGAAAATGCAAATGAGGGCATTAAAATAAACGGCGAGTTAACAAACAATATAAGATACGCCGACGACACGGTGATCCTTGCCAGTACCATAGACGAATTACAACAAGTAATGGAAAGACTTTATTCAGTTAGTGAGGAATACGGCCTGAGCCTCAACTTCAAGAAGACAAAGTGGATGCTGATAAGCAAAAAGCAACAACCTGCTCGACAATTACGGATAAGTAACATATTAATTGACCATGTAGAATCTTATGTGTACCTTGGCACCAACGTAAATGCAAAATGGGAACAGACCATAGAAATTAAGGCGAGAATAGAACGAGCTAGAGCAGCATTTAGCAATATGAAAAAGCTCCTCATAAGCAAGGATTTGTCTCTTCCCCTAAAACTACGTATAGTTAAATGCTACATTTTTCCGATCTTGCTGTATGGCGTGGAGGCCTGGACGCTGACGGAGACGCTAACGAGAAAACTAGAAGCATTCGAAATGTGGGTGTACCGACGCATTCTTCGTATATCCTGGACCGAACATGTCACCAACATAGAGGTACTCCAAAGAATCGGAAAGGAGAAAGAAATCGTGAATACAATTAAACAAAGAAAGCTTGAATATCTAGGCCACATATTGAGATACGATAAGTATCGTCTGCTACAATTGATTGTCCAGGGAAAAATAGACAGTAAGCGAGGGCCAGGCAGGAGAAGACACTCGTGGCTCCAAAATCTGCGGAAGTGGTTCGGGCTCACATCGGTCGAACTATTCAGAAGCGCCGCAAACAAGATCAAAATTGCCATGTTAATAGCCAACGTTCGCAACGAACAGGGCACTTGAAGAAGAAGACACAGTGCTCACCAAAAACCGAAATATTCACAAAAAAAAAATTAAATAAACTTAAAATATATAATCAGGCAAAAACTTTATAAATCTAAAAAGTGCTATAAGACAAGAAGAAATAAAAAATCAGAATACCGCTGACAGTTTTTGGAACTAGATGGATACAAAATGAATTGAACAGTATTAAACAACATAAATACAAAGTTAGAACTTATAACAACGATTTAAAAAAAGGACTTGGTATTTATGCTATGTATTGAAAAATGTCAAATATAATCTGCAACGAATAATAATAATTAAAGGCAAAGAGCTTTCATTAATTATTAAGAGTGGCGCAGAATAGAGAAGATTTTGATGTAGTGATCACAAATCTCTAGTAATGGAGTACACCAGAAGAAGAAGAAGAAGAAGAGAGATTAGTAATAGCAGAATAAGTACAAACGAACTTATGAAAATGGAAGCAGCAACGAATAGAAAAAATCTAAACATGGATTGAAAAAAACTGGAAATTCACAAAATTCACTGGCACTGCAGATTAAATACCCCGATAATGCAGACATTATGACTACAGTATATACAGGAAAATACCACAAATGACGTAGGCAGATAAGTTAAAAGATGAATTTTACTTATGTGATCAGGGCACAAGACAAGAAGCTATAAGAAACAGAAAGGAAAGACTGTTGCAGTCTGCCAAAATGGATATCAATTCATGATATCAATTTCGTTTTTTGGAAGCTGAGATATATTTCTATAATTTTTTAAAGGTATTCAAAATGGATTTTTCAACTTACATGATGGACCAAAGCCACTAATCCGATAAACAATATACCCAACTTCATAATGTCACTTTAGATCTATAAACCTATAGACAAAAGTGAGTGGATGCCTCGACCAGGAAATCGTTACGTTTTATATGTTTAAAATTGTTTTTATTTTGTGACGGCCGACAAGGTTATATTTGCAGGAATTTACGTCTTCAGTTTATGAATATTATAGGAAAATATTTAATGCAATCGTAATACTATACGTGCAAATTAGTTCGGTTATTGAACTTCGACGATTACGTTATACTATTGTTTATTATGAGTTTTTGAGACTACGACAATCTTTATATAATTATTTGTATAATAAGCTTTAAGGAAACAAACTACAGACAACAGAAAAGTGTCTAAAGTGAGTAAAATTACGTTTGAGCAATACAAAAATAAAAATTAATATATATAATATACATAATATATATATATATATATATATATATTATATATATATATATATAATATATATATATAATCAATAACCCTTCTACCCTAAGGTGTTGGGTGTAAAGTCTCTTTTAGTTTTCATGTACAAACTTCCTCCAATTCTTCTTGTTGCTTGCCAACTTCTTCGCTTGTTCCTTGGTGATTCCTCTCCTGTCTAGGATGGCGGCAATTTCATCGTCCCAGGTCTTCATGGGTCTGCCCCTCGGTCTTTTCAAGGTTCTTCTCGCTTCCCACACTTGTTTCACTTGGCTTTTTTATCCATCCTTACCATGTGGCCGTACCATCTCAGTTGGGCTTCTTCGATTTTCTTCTCTATTGACTGGACTTTAAGGCGTTTCTCTTATTTCATTTGTTTCGTATCCTGTCCATCTCTGGTCACCCCTAGTACTCTTCTTAGATACTTCATTGATATACTTTGCAGTTTACTTTTTAGTCTGGTGGTGAGCGTCCAGCTTTCACATCCAAATGTTAAGATAGGTACAAAAACTGTGTTGTAGATAGCTATCTTTGCTTTTTGGGATACTTCTTTTTTCGATAGGAATGTGCTCTTACTTTGTTGTGTTTTACTTTCATTAATTCTCAGATTGCGTTTCTCAAGTTTTATCTCTCCATATTTGAGGTTTCTCTTAAGTGCGTCCTCGTTTCTTCCAAATACGACGAGGTCATCTGCAAATGCGCACTCCGCAATCTGTATGATTTTCCAGGTTTCTATGTCCAACAAATAATCTCGATGTTTCTTCTCTAGTTTTCCTTCATTACATCATCTAGTACAATATTGAACAGGATGGGGCCTAGTACACCTCCTTGTCGTAAGCCATCATTGACTCTAAACTCTTCTGATTCCATATTATCTGTTCTTACCCTGTTTTCTTGTGTTCTTGTATAGGCTCATAATAGCTTTTCTGAGTTTGCCGTCTACTTCTCTGTTTCTTAGGCTTTTGTCTATTTCAGTTCGCGAGGTTCTATCAAATGCTTTTTCGAGGTCTATGAAGGCTTGGCACTGTTTTCTCTGAACTGTTGAGGTGGAAGATAGTGCCTGGCGCCGAATAATGAAAAAGTTTTTGGAGAAAGGAAAAGATTGGGAGAGCGATAACTCAGTAACGGACGACGGAATAAAAAGAAAAATGAGGGAGGATGACATCGAAGATGATGAAGGAGGAGAGCATACGAAGAATAGAAAGCTATCAACAAACTCACCACGGAATAAACATGAATCAAAACTAGATACCATAATTGAAATGATGAACAAGTTGGCAAAAGATGTCACAGAGATAAAGAACGACCAAAAGAGCAGTAAAGAAGCAAATAGAACAGCTCATCGAAGATAATAAAAAGTTAAAGAAGGAAAACAAAGAACTAAAACAAGAAAACAAAGAAATCAAAGAGGAATTGAAAGAAATCAAGGAGAATATGGAATTTATGGAAAAACAAAGGAGGAAAACAATGTAGTGTTGAATGGTCTATTAATAGATACCTATGATCAAAGAGTAATAAAAGAGGGCGATGTTGAATATATTCAAAACATATATTGAAATTGAGGTTAAAATCAAAGATGCATACAAGCTGGGAACAAAAACCTGTCTGATCGAACTAGAAGATCGGGAAGAAAAAATTTAAAGTCATGAAGAACAAGTACAAGCTAAAAAACCACAAGGAAAAATATATATCAACAACGACACCACAATAAAAGAAAGACAAATACAAAAAACTATAAGAATGATTGCACGAAAAGAGATAGATAAAAGGCAACGACGTAAAGATTGGCACAAATAAATTGTGGGTAAATAAGGAAGAATGAAATGGAATAATAAAGAAAATAAGATAGATAAACCAAAAAACTAATAAAAAACGGCAATGGAAAAACGATGACGAAACAGGCAATGAACAAGGACATGAATAGTAGTAAAGCACTATACAAAGACCAGTGTGGAAACGTAAAAAAGAAGGAAGATGAGAAACGCTTACAAATACACAAAGCAACTTTAATCAATGAGATTAAAAGTGTGAAAACAACGACATAAAAATTAATACAATTAAAAATATAAATGAATTAAAAATTAATGAAGAATACAGATAAGATTCAATACAGTTGAAATTAGGTATTTAATAAATATCTACGATTATAATAAAACCCAAAACGCAGAGCAGAGTTTTGTCTGCGAAATTCATGTAGGAACTATCTACTTAAGGGTAACTATGGATGTGTCTAAAGGGGATACTATTAACACCATTATGGAACATGATTCAAAAATCCCATAAGAATGGAAGACATCAGTCATATATACCATACACAAGAAAGGAAGGGACGACAGTGACAGCTATAGAGACATCGCTATGACAAGCCGTGAAAGGTAGAATAGAAAATGAATACAAAGATATAGAAGCCGAAGAACAAGCGGGATGCAGGGTAGGTAGATCAACTATTGATCATTTATTCTGCCATACACATACTATTGAAAAGACCTACTTACTTAATCAGTAGACCCATTTGTACCTTTCGGTGTTGGGCCGTTTATAATACAATTCTTTATATTACAATATTTTATAATCTTCTGAGTGTCCTAGCTCTTGACAAACTTTCTCCATTCCTTCCTATTGTATGCCATCTGAGTTGCTTCCTGCCAAGTCTTACTCTTACTCTGCAGTATCTGCGAGATGTCACTGTTCCATTCTTTAATGGGTCTTCCTCTTCTGTTCTTCCCTATTGGTTTGGCGTCCCACACTCTTTTTACTTGTCTATTATTGTCCATCCGGGTTAGATGTCCGAACCATGCCAATTTTTTCTCCTTGATTGATTCGAGAATCGGTTTGATTTTTAGTCTTTCTCTTATTTCTTCATTTCTGATTCTGTCAGTTCTTTTTACTCCCATCGTTCTTCTGAGGTATTTCATTTCTGCTGCCTGAATTCTGCTTTGATGCCTTTTGTTTAGTATCCAATTTTCTGCTCCATATGTCACTGTAGGTCTATATATTGTTTTGTATATTGTCATCTTGGTCTTTGTTGATATTTCTTTGTTATTAAGGAATCCTCTATTTAGTGTTTGGAATAGTTTTCCTGTGTTTTCCATACTATTGTTAAGATCGTCCTCGATGTCTCCTTTGTTGTTGATTACTGTTCCTAAGTATTTGTATGAATTTGTCTGTATTATTTTTTGTTGGTCTATCATTATTTCTAGTTGATCTTCCGTCCTTGTTTCCTTGATATTTTCATTATCTGAGTCTTCTCTTTGTTTACGTTTAAGTTGTATTTGCTTGCTTCTAGGTTCCATTTGTCTAAGTTGTATTTCAGTTTTTCTGCTGTTTCCGCAATTAATACTATGTCTTCTGCAAATATACACATCTCAGCGTTTATCATTTTCATTCTGTTCCAACCGATGCAGTATTTCTTGAACGTTTTCTTACATTCTTTCACTATCTCATCTATTACATTTATAAATAGCACTGGGCTGAGACTTCCTCCTTGTCTAACTCCTTAAGTTGTTTCAAATGGTTCTGACTGCATATTTGACATTCTTACTATGTTTGTTGTTTTCATGTATATACTCTTTGTTGCTTCTATCAGTTCTTCACTTACTTGCTTTTTTTAGGCTTTTCCCGTATATCTTTTCTTTTGACTGAGTCGAATGCTTTTTCCATGTCTATAAAGCTCAGATATATTTCTCTATTTTTCTTTAAGGACTTTTCTATGACTTGTTGCATGGTGAATATATGGTCTTGTGTGTTGTGTCCTTTCCTGAATCCACTTTGTACATCCTCTATTTATTACCATTTCTTTGTCCATTTCCTTTCTATTATGGTTTCGTATACTTTTGCTGCTACACATAGTAGTGATATACCTCTATAGTTCTTACAGTCTCTTGTGTTTCCTTTCTTGTATGTAGGTATAATTACTGCATTTGTCCATTCTCTGGGTATTACTTTTCTCTTCCATATTACGTTATATATGTATAACAATTTTTCTTTTGCTTTTACTTCTATATATTTCATCATTTCTGGTGCTACTTCATCGCTTCCTGGTGCTTTTCCAATCTTTATCTTTCTTATTGCTTCTTCTAGTTCTTCTTTTTCTATAGTTTCTGGATTTTCCATGTTTCTCATGTATACTCTCTTGATGTGGCTTTCGTTCTCGATTGTATTTGCTTGATTTCCATTCAGTATCAGCTGGAAGTGTTCCCTCCATCTTTCCATTATTGTCTTATCGTCTTTTATTATTGTTCTTTCCTTGTTCATTATTTGTTTTAGTTTCGTTTCTTTGTTGCTTCTTAGGGTTTTCAGTGTTCTATAAAATAATTTTACGTTTTCTGTGCTGTTTTCTTCCATTTTTTCTCCGAATTTTTCCCAACTTTTCTTTTTCTCTTTCTTAACTATCTCTTTAACTTTTGTTCTTTGTCTCTTATAATTTTCATATTTTGTTTGTGTTTTGTCTTTTATGTATTCTTTCCATAACTTCTTCTTTTCTTTTATTTCTCTTTTCACTTCATCATTCCACCAAGATGTACGTCTCCCTCTGTTGTTATTTTTTGTAGTTCCACATATCGAATTTAGCTGTTTTTATCATCGCATTTTTAAATTTTCCCCATTCTTCTTCTATTGTTTCTGTTATTTCATGTTCATTGTCCATCACTTTCTCTAGCTCTTCTGAGTATCTTCGTTGTTTCTTCCCTTAGTTTATAAATTTTTATTATTTCTTTGTGTTTTTTGTTGATGCTCTCTATTGAAAAGAAAGGAAGGTAAATTATACAACAGTAGAAAATATTGGTACTTAACAACTAATATGGTGTGGCATGTCAAAAAAAATACCCGAAGATCGACTTCAAAGCAAATCCTAACATGGCAATCTCATGGTAGAAGGAAAAGATGAATACCTCGTCTTAGTTGTAAAGAAGGCATAAATTAGGAAATGGAAGATAGAGAAATAAAGAAAAACCAATGTAGAGACAAAAAATAGTCAGGTTATCTGGTCAGGTTCTAAAAAGACCTGTTCCAGGTCTTTTTGGCGTTGTCGAACAATTTTTCTACAGCTGCAGCTGAATTTTTGCAGAATCTGCATGGTGCGTTAGACCTTTCTCCTTATACATACTAGATAATATGGACAATGTACCGTGATAATATTTGTGAATATTCTGAATGCAAAATTCTGAAGCTCTGAGTATTTTTACGTCGCAACCAGAAGGTTATAATAATCGATTTATTTGCCTTTTAGACTGGCATACTTTCCCATAAAAAAGAAGATATAACTATTATTATGTGTGACTTGAATGCGAAAACTGGTAAAGGGAGAATTCTATAAATTAATTGGTAATTTTGGTCTAGGGATATAACTAGTTATGGAGATTTTGAAGAAAAAGTACGACAACAAAGCTTAAAAGCAAGTAAAGCGGCGGGATCTCTTAATGACACAATCTGTAAGAACAAACACCTAAGATAAGGCACAAAAACAAATATCTATAAAACAACAATTAGACCTATATTAACATACACGACAGAGACAAGACCTGACACATCTAAAACGAGACTACTACGAGAAACAACAGAGATGAAAATACTCCGACAAATATCAGGGAGAAGTATGTTGGATAGGGAGATAAGCAAAAACATAAGAAGAGCATGCAAAATGAAGATCAGACCAAAAAAAGGATGATGCGATAATTTAAGAGGCTAATATTGAAGAAGAAACAGGCTTTACAGCCTACATACAAGAAGAAAGAAAAAGAAGAAGGTATAGGAAGGAAATGAAAGGGGAGAAAGATTATAACTATTTGTAAAGTAAGAAGAATTTGCAATACTTAATACGTTCTTTAAACTACCACCAAGACGTTTTTATTCTTGGGTCTCTCCGCAAGATCAACCATGAAACATAATAATAAATCAAATTGATTACATAATGGTAATCAAAAAATTCCGTAATGGACGTATCATCAAATCATATTCCTGTTATTGGTAAATTTAGGTTTAGATTTAAAAAGGTTACAAAAAAAATAGTAAAAAATAGTAAAATGTGATATGAGAAGACTAAAAGATAAGCTAAACAAAAGGGACAATCGCACGGATTCTGTCAGAAAGCTTAGTAACATGAAGCAAACATATGACCCAGAAGAATCACTCCAGAGTATAAATGTTTAACAAGATCAGAGAAGAACATCTAAAAAAAGTAAAGAGAAGAGGAAGACATCCCCCGCCCACAGCAAGGATCAGAGTCTCTACTCCTATTCGCTGACGATACAGCCATTCTCACCTCAGGCTCCTACAGGGAAGGAGAACGACAGTCTGTATTCGAAAAATCGCAAGCCTACCTTGATAGAGTCGTGAGGTGGTGCAACAAATGGAGGGTCACTTTAAACCCCTCCAAAACTCAAGCAATTCTCTTCAGACCTCCTTACGGACGCGGCCTCCAGGGCCGGGTGACACTTTTGGGAGAGGACCTTATTCTCAGGAACTCAGTTCTCTACTTGGGAGTTCGTTTTACGAGAACTCTCAATTGGAAGGCTGACGTCCACGAATCCCTCGACAGGATGAGAAGAAGGCTCAACCTCCTGAAAGTGCTAGCCGGTAAACTAGGAGGAACGTCCTCTAACACATTGTTGCACACCTACAAGACTTTTATCAGACCGATAATCGAATACAAGGCGTGCGTTTACCTCTCTCTGAGGAACCATGCACTCAACGCCATCACTGCCACCGAGCGTAGAATCCTACGCTTCTGCATGAGAAAAGATTGGCTGTATCCATCAGCCCACATTTACGCACTAACCAACATCACGCCAATTAAGGACAGAATCCTAACCCTCAGTAGGAAGTATGTCTTAAGAACCATAGCTGGCTCGAACAACCGAGCAAAACAAACATTAAAGACACCGTGTTCCCATAGAGGGCAAATACTCACCAGGCATCCTGCCAAAAAAGTTCCATTCCCTCCAGCTAAACTTCTACACAACGCTGGACCCGAACTTCCTGAGGAGTATTTTGATATTCTTGAATCTTTCCCCATCTATTATCGCAGATAAACTGCGCACCAAAAACGCTGATAAAGAGCCGTTCCTACTGTATGGCTGATAACCCTGAAGTAGCTCACACTGCATGCTAGGCAATCCCAACTTCTTCTTGTGCATTCTATCGATTCTTATCGATCACACAAAAACCACCTTCTTTTCCCTCTTTTCCTTAGTAGTTCTCTACTTCTTAGCTCGCGTTTCGTTCAATTGACGTTTTCTCACACCCCCCACAACTCCGTCAAAAAAAAGGAGTCCCCCATCCCTTGAAGAGGCGCAAGCCTAAACAAGGTTAAAACTTAAGAGTCAGAAGAGGAAAAGTTGAATGAATGACAATATACTGCAACTTATGGAAGAAAGAAGAAAATCAACGAATAATAAAAGAATGAACAAACATATTCAAAGACAAATAAAAATCGAAATACGAAAGGCCAAAGAAAATTTGTTAAAAACACAGTGTTAAGAGATAAAGTTGTTGGAACAAAAACACGATACATTTAAACACGACACAATGCCGTGATGGTTGCCAACATCCGAAACGGATAGGCACTACAAGATGAAGATACTTTCCCAGTAGGTTCCATTAAATTCTTTTTTACTTTAGGTTTTGTTCTAGCAAAAGGAGTCTTAGTGTTTTCTTTAGTCATCCAAGAGGAATCTTATTACCAGCAATTCCTTTATGCCTGTAACCCATGGAACTATTTTCAGTTCCCATCTGTTACGAACTCATAAGTTGTAGAGATCGGATTCTTCAGTACAGATTGGTTGTCGCGGTAATAAAAATATAAGTTGTCAAATCTGAGAGTGACCTTGAAGCTTAATTGGTATACATATATTTCGAATCTTACTAACAAGCCTACAACTGTCTTGGAACTCAAAGAGAAGTGTACTTAAAACATCGGGATTGAAATCAAAGAAAACCTGGAAATTATACATAACAATGATATGACCAACAGTAAAATACAGAGTAAGTTTTATGTATGGAACGCGTTAATTATCTCGGAAACGGTTTGCACGGTTTTTATAGAATTTGGTGTGTAAGGTTCTTGTGAAGCATAAGATTTCTATTGTTTTTCTGAAATGTAATGAACTTTTCTTAAGTCTTAAGAAGTACTGATTACTTTTCATGTAATGTTCCCTATAAACGTAAATGTCATAATGTCGGATGCTTGCTACAATTACATTATCTTCGCCCAAGTTAAAATACTACATTTAGATGAATAGACTCTATTAATCTGAATAATCTCGATCATTTATATCCTAATAATATTATCACAAGATCGACTGTCAATAAATTAGTAAAAAGTTTAACGGAAGAGTTGCAGTAAAAGATTTATCCAAATCATAGAGCAGAAAACCTACAGCAGCCGAAAACAAAATCATGTTAATGGTATGTCAATTTTTGAGTAGTAGAATTTTATAAAACCAGTAAAGGCGATTACAGCAGATTTTCAAAATGTAAATCTACTTCAATACAACAATTCATGCGATTTTTAAAACTTTGCAATACATTTTGCAACATCCCTGACTGTCCAAATCTTCTTATCTCTGTGGTAATCCTATCTTTTAATTTTTGGCCACGGTTAGGCACATTCAGAAGAAAAAGATGTGGTCACTCGGAGTAAAATCTAGAGAATATGGTGCTCGACAATTTTTAAACATCCATCACGAATAGCAGACAATCAAAGACATGTGGCTGGTGTGTTGTCGTGAGCACACCTTTCCGTAACTTTCCCCGTCTCTTTTCTTTTATGCATTCTACTTTTTCTGTATAGCTAATCTAAATAATCAATTCACAATATACTTTGTGCCTCTCAGAATACTGAGATCAAAATTTTAGTGGCTGACACCACAGCTCTAAACTTGCAAGTTGGTGGTGAACCGCCATACTTTCACTGCTTGCTCTAAATGTTTCTCTTTGTTATATACCCATATTTCGTCCATTGTCACATACCATATACCGTTCAATAAATGACAAGGCCGGATTTATAAGACTTACAATAATTATTATGGGCCCACACTGGCTGTATAGCAGCTAAGGTTAATACATCTGAAAAAGAAGAAGAATGTCATTTGTCACTAACCTCTTATAAAACGTAATATAAACATTGTAAATTGTAAATATATTTTGTGTTTTTGTGTAAAATGAGTAATAATATTCCTGAAAACTCACCTGGAAGAAAGGCAATAGAAACCATGGAAAACCTTCATAAAGACCTTGTTTTTAAAAAGCCATTCGGTATTATTAAAAAGAGAACAAAGAAAAAAATTCTGGAAGAAGATAACTATGTAGAAGAAATAGGCAAAATTATTCAGAGGGATTTCTTTCCAGACCTAGAAAAATTAAAAGCACAGAGTGCTTATTTGCAAGCATTGGAAACGAATGACACATTGAAATTAAAGGAATTATATGCCAAATATAGTGGTAGTCAACATCCACCAGAAAGAAGTAAGTTCATTTTATTCTTTGAATTGTTCTTGGATTGTTATTTTTTATGTAATCAAAGTACACTATAACTTTTAACGGGCATATAATCCAGTTGTATGAGAATACTCATGTATTAAAAATCTAATGATGCGAATTCTATATTCCTGTCAAACGCAATTTAAGTGCACTTAAGAAAATACTGCTTAGTAAAGTAGTAAGGCTAACTATTATATAAAAAATTCAAAATTGCTTTAATTTCTATTGGTACAAAACATAATGTGTGTTTAATGGTCTCAATTGTGAACCAATGGGCCATATTATGTTATACTTAATACAATATTAATCTCTGATTTCCTATTTTACAGTACCTAGTCCAGCCACATTTGAAACTCCTGCTAACATTCATGGATCCCAGCAGCAAAATCAATCAAGTACAAAAAATTCAGACAATGTAGAAAAACCAATTGAAAATAAACTGAGTCTAGATCAATACTTAAATTCTCATACCTCTCAAGATAATGAAAGTTTTGAAGAGCTACTCCAAGAATCTGAACAGAAACGGAGAGAGAAGTATTCATATTTATTTAATGAAGAGGAAAAGAGTGAAGAGCACCAGAAAAGAATATTAGCTTTACCATCCGTAGAGGAACAAGCTGCAATACCAGAGAAAAAGTTTGGTTTGGATATGTGGGGCTACAAGAACAGAAATTATATTATGTATGTACCCGATGGTGTGGATTTAAGTGAAGAAGAAATTAGAGAAGTTAATAAAAGAAGGCAAGAGATAGTTCATTCCAATACAAGATTAGCTATTAATCCTTTTAATGAAGTTCAAAGTGCAGAAACTATTAATGAATTGGCCAAAAGTCAAGCTAAGGTATGTAAATACTTATCCTTATACATATGATAGTTTTATAATGGTGAATTTTTCTTTCTCATGCAAAAATAGAAACTTTTCTGTAGTTATTAGGTATATTTAAAACTATGTGTTTGCATGTGTGTTAAGAATTTGGATTTAAACCTAACCTATAAGCTAACTAGTAATGAGAATGTGGCAGACTACACAACCTAAGTTGATTTTTTTTAATAAAAGTGAGAAAATAATGCTTGGGAGTTATGTTATATTGTCTTGAATGAATTAATTTGTTTCTTAAAATGTTTGAATAAAGAGACAATATCTCTCTCTCCCTTCAATTCTGATTTCGGGAGGCAGCTGTAGTGGCCATCATGATGTAGTCTATTGTCCGTCTCCAAAGATTTCTGTCTCTGGTCATTTATTTTAACTCATGTATAGGTTTTTTGTATATATCTTGTTGGAGATCTTCCTTGTGATCTTCAGCTGTCTACCTTTCCTTGGATAATAAGTCTCCATGTTTTCTGTGTCTGCTCTCATTATTATTTACTAAGTACACTGAGAAATTATTAGTTCTATATGCATTTAGCATATAGAACTAATTCTATATTCCATATGTTTAAAAATAAACTACATAGGTATGTTTTTATATAGTTTTCAAGACCTGACAACATGTTTTTGTGTTGTTGGCCACTGAAAACAACATGAAAACTAATCCACACAACAATACTGTACTGTGGTCTCAAATGGATGCAATTTGGTTAAGACTGGCTGATTTTCTTAATTGTTTATTTTTCTATTTATTTTAATTGATCTAGTATCTGTCTGAAATAAATCCATCAAAACTTGAGCTCAGGAAACAATGTAGTAATTCTTATATTGAATGGTATCAACAATATGTAGTTTTACTAAAAAGATTTGAATATATATGATATTAACCAATTTCCCCCTCTCAATTGTCCTACACTCATGGACAAAAATATCAAATTTTTATTTCTGATTTTTTTTTTAATAAATTCTGACCAATCAAGTCGTTTATTATGAAGAAGAGTTTATTTTAATGTTTAATGAACAATTTTAAGTTTTTAAAGACTTTGAAGTCTTTTTAACTAGAACAAATGCATAATCAGTAACAAGTATTCCCCCTCTAGCCCTTATTACTGCTGCATCCTGTGCAGCAAGCCAAAGCTGCTCTATCATATTTCGAAATGGACTTCTTTGTCATATGCAGCATTTTAGCTGATATCACATGTGCTTTATTAGATTTAAATATGGGCAAAATGGTGGCCAGTTCAATCTTTGAATTTGGACATCATCAAGATAATTACTCACTAAGGCAGTGGTAATGTGGTCTTGCATTATCATGCATTAACACGAATCTGTCATATTCAATGTAACTAACATAACAAAACATGATCTTGCAGGATTATGAGCGTAAGAGATCAGCCATCCGTCTGATCACTTCCACAAGTGCGGTGAGTCCCTCCCAACTAATAACTCCCTAAAGCACTTGACTAATACCTCCCTAAATCATATCTTGTGTATATCCTTCCTTGTACAAAATTACAGTATGTGCTGCTTGGGCTTCATCACAGTGTCGAATTGGTGGGATACTTGTTTTATATTCAGTTAAATCAAAACAATATTTATTTAAACTTTAAAGATTAAACTAAAAATATCATAATCACATGAATAGGTTTTCCTTTATGTGAAGAAGGTTCTTTATGATAAAATGCCCAAATGACACTCAATGCTGAATAAATGTCAAAATATTTCAAACCAATTGAGTACATTAGCCTACTATATAAGTAACATCAGTAATATAAAATTTATTTTGAAATAATAGTGCCTTCAAAAAAATTTTTTAATTCCAAAATATTTGATATATTCTGTCCATGCGTGTATAAATAATTAACAAGCTAAAATTTTGACATCTTGAACAAATTTATAATATCTCGTTTTATAATACCCAATTAATTATTTGAAATATATTGTAATTATTTTAGTCAAGCATCAAAAGTTAGGGCAAAAATTTCAGAGAATGTTCCTAAAATTTATGTTCAATAGTTGGTAAATTGTGTGTATGTATTAGTATAGAAAATATTTTATTATGTAGGTCCTCGATGGAAAAATTGGCGTGGATGGTAAAGAACTTCTCCAAACAGACATACCTAACGTAGGGGGATATAGTTTTGTAAGAACTCCATCGCCTTCACCAAGTTTGTTGGGAACTCCTTTGATGACGTGGGGTGAAATAGAAGGAACACCATTTAGACTTGATGGGAGTGATACACCATTACCAAGGTAAATATTAGTATATTAAAAATGTGGTTAAAATAAATAGACCAGTTTTGGTTTCACATAACATGAAACCTTTTATTCTTATTTATTTATATTTTTTGTTTTCTACAAAATTCATTGCATATTAATGATAAGTTGTACAGAGGTGTACCATTGTCAGATCTATAAAATAAAGGAATTTTAGAGAAAAATTAAAATAATGAATAGGTAGAATTAATCCAGATATCAAACCAGGTAAAATTTTAGAATAAAAGTTATATTTTAGAATGAAAATAAAGTATTTTGTAACAGTTTTTCCAAAAACTGTATGTAGTAAGGTCGCTGGGTGAATAAATAGTAGTCTTTAATAGATCAGACTTTCTATATAAAATATTTACCAAATTATCCTTTACAGTAATTCTTTTCTGAAAATGGCACACAAGAATGTTTGTTACAGTGCCTCACCTCCCCCATCTGATCTTAAACAAATTCAACACAAACAGAGTTCTTATTTGAGTTTTTTAATTGTCCTGCAGGTCCCTTCCCAGTTATCCAGCCTTTGCAATATTGTCTATGCATGGAGTGATGGTATTTATTTAACATTATTAGGAAACATACATGGGACTGCATTTACTACTCCACGTAGTATGTGGCCGCGCAATCTGTCGTTTCATTGTATTTCTGTCGTTTTTATTTTGTCATACCACTGCGCAATCCACTGCGCTAATCAATGCATTCAGTCCATACCCCTAGATAAGAAATCTATACTGCCAAAATATTTACTCTTTTTGCTTACGGTTTCTGCATGATTCTTTTGAATATAACCATATTTCAATCAGTCCATAGACTATGTGTAAACTGTAAAATTGAATGTTGGCAGACTTGTTTAATTTTTATATTTGTGACATTAACTTAAGATTTTTCTTTTTTAGGAGTCAAGGACCAACTTTCAAGATATCAGAACCTCCTAGGAGAGAGCAACTAGCATTGGCTTTAGCAGAAAAAGTAGGAGAAAAGAAGAATATAGAGAAAAGGAAAAATATTGATGCACAAAGAAGGCAATTTGCTACGTAAGTTTATTTTAGGAGCATATTTTTTGATAATATCAGATTAATAAAATATGCCAGCACCTGAATTTGAATATAGAATAGATTTTATTCTGGGTTTCTAGCATCATTTAAGGATGTTGGCCAATGTATTCCAAGTTTTTTGTTTAATGTCAACTACTTACTTTTCTTTATTGGGTCCTGACATCTTGTTTATAGTATTTCTACCCATTACCGGGTTCTGTAGGTTTCATTTTCTTTCACAAGACACAAATGTTTTAAGAGTACACCGGTGAAGGAGATTTTGCATGTAAGATGTTCCATATCGTGTATTTTACTATTATTATCTGTATTAGTTACCCATAGTCACTGTTTATCTTAGTCTTTGTTTCCACATTCTATGATATTTGTGTTTACTGAAGCAACCCACATTTTTAATCTACAGTAGCAGCTCTTTATTCGCGATGTATATGTTTCGTAAATATGCCGCGAATACAGAAACCATGCATATGGAATGGTAATTTATATGGGGTTATAGGGTTCCTAGGAGACGAAATAAAAAAGCAAATACATAAAAAATTAGTTTCATTGTAGTTTTTGACCATGCATTTTGATAAATTACATATTATCTTCAGGTTAAGGAAATAGTTTAAAGAACTTAGTAATTTTCTCTTGCTTGGCAGTTTTTAAAAAACTCCTTTAATTCAGACTGCTATTCAGCAGTGGCATTAGCAATTTGCCTCTTACAAATAAGACATTCTTCCATAGATGGATCAATTTTCATAAAGAAATCAAGAAGCGGATTTGCCATTCTTAAACCTTCACGACGATTTTTCAAATTAAATGCCACGCTTCCAATGCTTTTTCAACCCTCTTCTTCAATGGGTTGTAAATTTAACATTTCCTCAAGTCGGGTTCAGTCAACTCTTCATCTTACGATTCAAGCAACTCCTGAACTTCGCTTGATTCTATCTATTCGAACCCATCTTGCAGTTTTGTTTGAATATTTGCAGTTAAAGTGTGAACTTGCACAGATTCTTCCTTATCTCTCGAAGTCAGAATAGGCCACAGTTTTTTCCAGCATGATTCTTTTATGTTTACAATCCATTTTGCTATGTATTTATACCAGGATCACATTCCATATTATTCAGTATCATTTTGAAGGTTCGTTTAATATAATAGTACCTAAAGGCCTGGATAATTCCTTGGTCCATAAGTTGAAGCAAGGCCGTCGTGTTGGGAGGTAAAAATGTCACTTATATTTGGATGCAGAGTTTCAAGTTCGCGATGATGACCTGGTGTATTGTCTAAAACTAGAACGGTATAAATTCTTTGATTTCAAATAGGTTTCAACTTCAGAAATATTCCGGAACCAGTCACAAAAAATAGCGCTTGTAGCCCACGCTTTCTTATTAGCACACCAAAACACTGTTGTGCACCAAGCACTCCTTGATTTGATTTTTTAATGCACGAGGATTTAAAGAGCATCTATAAAACATCAAGGGTTTATTAGCACAATCTCCAGATGCATTAGAACAAAGCAACAGTGTAACTCTATCCTTTGCTGCCTCAAATCCGGGGACGGACTTTTCGCTTTAGGAAATGAATGTTTTATTTAGCATTCTCGTCCAAATGAGTGCAGATTCGTCTGCGTTTAATACTTGCTCAGGAGTATATCCTCCACCAACTACCAGGTTCCCAAATTCTTCTGGATATCTTTCTGTTGCAGCAGTGTCTGCAGATGCTGTTTTTCCGACGATTTTAATGCTATGCGATGATTATCGCACCTTAAATTTATTGAACCAACCTGCCGATACTTACAATCGTCTATCTGTACATTCACCACCACCAATACCACCAGCTTCTTATTCTTCACCAGCTGACAGTGAAGTTGAATTTTGTATCGATCGTACAGTGAACATGATATGGATGCAAACAACCCTCCAAGGCCTAAACAATCAAGCATTTCTATTTTCCCTTTTACACAGAGGTCAAAGTCCCTTACCCGCTAACCAACATGGCTTTAAGAAAGGTTATGGAACTTTAGATTCCTTAACAAGTCTTGTTGTAGACATTTAGAACAGTTTTTCCAGGAACAGTTATGTACCTGCTTTATTTTTATACATCGAAGGTGCTTACCTTACAACTAGGTATCTCTTACAATTCTCCAAGAAAAAATGATTAAATTTTTTCATATTCCAGCAGTTTGTTTCTAACGTTGTGAACCTGTATTTAAAAGACAATCGTACTCTTATAGGACCTAGACTTAATAACAAAGAATTACCTCAGGGCTCCGTTTTGAGTCCTATTTTGTTTAACATTTACACAGCAGATCTACACAACATCACTATTACTAATATTGCATTTAATATTTTACAATATGCTGACTATTTCTGTTTTTATACAGAACACAAAAAATATCAGCATTCCATTGAAAATCTGAATAAAGTTTATGGATTCCATCAAAAATGGTTTATAGAAAATGGTTTTGAATTATCTTGCAGTAAATCACAAGTTTGTTTATTTACCAGACATAACATTCCTAATGTCAGTACAATCAATTTAGGCGGGCACCAATTTTTCCTTAAAAACACAATTAAGTATCTGGGAATGATACTCGACCAGAAACTGACCTGGAAGGTACATATTGATAACATGTTGAACAGATGCAATAAGGGATTAAACTTTCTTAAATAAATTAATAAAACTTGGTGGGGATGGGATGTTGAAGTAAGTTTATTATTTTTTAAAGCTTAATTACGACCTATATTGGATTACGGAAGTGTTTTGTATGGATCAGCAAGTAATGTACTACTAAACAAAATCAACCTTTTACAGAACTCAGCCTAACGAATATGTTTAGGAGCCATAAGATCCACTCCAGTACAAGATTTATATTTGGAAGCCTTGGAACCTCCTTGAAATATAAAACGAAGTTTTTTTGTCCAAAAAATATTTAATGGAAGTAAATATTGCCAAAAAATGAAATCTCCCTTACTTTGCGAAGCGTAAAATCAAAATATAGCACTTTTAAAAAATATAGATAGAACGAACTACATATTCAAAAACTACTCTTCTTTCTTTTTAGATACAGATATTATTGTACCAAATTATAATGAAAACATATATTTAAATAAAAATATTGTTCTATCTATAACGAGCAATTACAAAGAGGCAATAGCTCTATATACAGATGCGTGTAAATCTCCAGATGGAACCAGATGCGCTTTTTCATACGATCGGGACATATAGAAAAGAAATTCAAACTGAACTTGGAGACTTCCATTTATACAGCAGAGGCTATTGCAATATATGAAGCTTGATTATAGGTAGCTGAAGTTGGTTTTGCCCATATTATAATTTTGCCTGTCTCCTTAGCAGTGTTAAAATCTATGTAAATATGGACCACCAAACTTACAAGGCTGCTCATACATTTATAGAATTAAACATATTAATCAAACTCTTTTAACCAAAGGAATCAATGTATTTTTTTTTTTATTTAAACATTTACGTGGTCTCGACTGCTTATGGTCATTTGACACGGGTACAGTAGTTCAATACACCCCACATCCTATTTTACATATTTTTATATAGGTATAGGGTTCAAGAATTTTATATGAACCATTTTTTTTTTTTATAGATTGGTTAGCAACACATATACGCTTATCTCACTATGCACCTAGTTTATATTAGCTGAAATAAACTTGTTAATCCTTTTATAAGAATCTAAGAAACCAATGTCATAAACGGTTTTTTTGGATACACTGAGATTGTTCTTTTTGATTTCCTTTTAGGCTGTGCTTGTTTCTGGAAGAATTCATATGGCAGCAGTTCCACTATCACGTGTTTGATGGAAAGGAGTTATTATAGTAGTGGCATACTGGAGGGTTTTCTGATGCCATAAGGTATCCATGTGTGAGGCGTGTATGCCCTATTCGTAGTCGCTGAATACTATTTTTCTTTTCTGTTCATAGAGGAGATATTGACGCGAGATAAGTTGGGCTGAACGTCATGCAGCTTAGTTTTTGTTTTACTACCACAGGTCCGCCCATGAGCTGAGGATTTTTTTTTTTATCAATATTTTAAGATCCGTATGGATTTGGACCTCTTTGGAAGGCTATGTCAGAAGAACATGCTGCTTTAGCGGCTTGGTCTGCTTTTTCGTTTCCCAATATACAACATGAGATGGAGTCCAGATCATTATGACTTTTATGTTAGCAGAATATAGTTGGTTACAGATGGTGTGGATTTCCTGGACATGTGGGTTTTTCGAGAAAATGCATCTTATGGAATGAATCGAGGAAAGAGAATCAGTGCAAATGGCGATTTTTATGCTTTCATTTGATAGTTGGACGGATTTAAGTCTTTAATGCTTGGAGTATTCCATATAATTCTGCGGTGTAGATACTACAACTTTTAGGCAATCGCATCAGAGCTTATTGTCGTCGTCAGTGTGGACACAGCGGAGCCGCAACAGTTTCATTTCTTGGACGCATCGGTGTATAAAATTTCATCAAATTGTGTTAAGTTAAGGATTTTTTGGAAGGATTTTCTAAGGATTGAGTTTGGGGTTTCTGTTTTGTCGAATCTGCTATAAATCTGTATTGAATATTGGAAGATTGTGCATTCATGGAGCTGTCTTGGGGGTATAAATAGAAGTTTAGTATTGGAGATGTTGATGGTAATCTAATAAAGGAGATAATATTTGTCGTAATGTGAGGAGACTGATTGGATGCGTTTATGGGGGAGGTTCTATGGGATGATTAGATTTATTACGGGTTTACTTGGGTTTGTTGATATTCTTACAAAGTATGAAAGTAGAAGCTGCTGCCTTCTTAGATGGAGTGGTGGCTTGAAGATTCAACGCACAGTTTCAGCGGGGCTTGATTTGAAAACACAGAGGCATAGTCGTAGGGATGTAATTTTGAATCGTGTTTAGAAGACTTTAGTAGGGAGCTACTAGATGTCATATAAAGATATACTGCCATTAATCTAGCTTAGAGCGAATTAACGCTCTATATATT